GTGTGTGTGACCTACAGGTGTCTGTGTGTGTGACCCACAGGTTTCTGTGTGTGTGTGTGGCCCACAGGTTTCTGTGTGTGTGTGTGTGTGACCCACAGGTGTCTGTGTGTGTGTGTGTGTGGCCCACAGGTGTCTGTGTGTGTGTGTGGGCCACAGGTGTCTGTGTGAGTGTGTGTGGCCGTGTCGAGGGGCCCACAGGTGTGTGTGTCGAGAGCAAGAGCGAGGTCTGTGTGTGGGGGAGCAGTGTGGGTAACACGCACAAAAACGGTGGCGTGTTTCGCAAAAGTCGGAGCGGGGGGGGGGGGGCGGTGGTGGTGGCGGTGGTTTACTGGCGACACCTGGTTTTGGGGAATGTGACCAAAAAAAAGAAACCTGACCTAGATTTTAACAGCGCGCGGTAAAAAGAAAGCGAGCCGCGTCGTTCGAATCCACATCCACCAATAAAACGCGCAGGGCTCTGGCGCTGCGGTAGCGCCTATTTAGTTTCGCCGTACGTCGCAAACATTTCTCTCTGTGTTCCACCGCCACCACCACCACCCCCTCCCCATAGCACGGCTCCCTACCCCCATTACATTTGACCGGATTCTTCGGATTATAAGACGCCACGCAACGTAAGACAGACGACGCACGCCCCCAAAACCCGTGCCGGTGTCCAGAACGCTGCACAGAGGTGGTCACGCACACTCGCACACGCCTCCCGGATTACAATACGCAGCCCCCCAATGTTTGCTTTATGAATGTTTGCATTGCCAGGTAAGGCCCACTGATACGTAGGTTTTTTTCAGGAGCGATCTGGCCTTAATTCTTTGTAGCTCAACGAAGTGGCTTATTGTCACCGTGTGGACATTTATGGCAGCCAAATAGTCCAAACGCGTGACGTTGATTCTAAATGTGGAGGGCGAAAACCCGGAGAACCGGGAGACAAACTCACGCGACCACGGGGAGAGAGAGAGAGAGACCGCAAACTCCAAATATACAGCAGCAGGCGTCAGGGTTGGGATCGAGCCCACGACCTCCTATAGACCAGGCGAGATAGTTAACATCTCCTAGCCACCGTGATGATGATGAGAGAGAGAGAGACACGCAACCTCCAAATATAGAGCAGGCGTCAGGGTCGGGATCGAGCCCACGACCTCCTGCACACCAGGCGGGGAGTTAACGTCTCGACAAATGTTCCTAAACTCCCTTCCCGTGAGCGTGGTGGGAGGTGCCCCATCCTGGTGGGAGGTGCCGCATCCTGGTGGGAGGTGTCCCACCCTGGGGCAGCTCCCACTACGCCCAAATCGAGAATGCGGTAACGGCAACGAGTTGGCTAATCTCCATCTGTCCCTTCTGTATATGATGGGATCGAGTGCTGCCCCCTCGCACAGAGTCTTGGTCCTCCGTGCAGCAACAGAGTCGAGGCCCCTAAGCAGCCCCTTCCGAGCCTCTTCGCCACAGACACATATGCAAAAAGAGCGTCATAGTTCATCGGATTTTTCGAGTATAAACACAGATGCTGATTCTGAAAAAACATTGGACTCCCGTTTCTCCGCTCCTTCTCCATCCGTTTCCTCTCATTCCCCACTCTCTCCCTCATTCCCCACTCTCCCTCATTCCCCACTCGCTCTCTTTCATTCCCCACTCTCTCTCTCATTCCCCACTCGCTCTCTTTCATTCCCCACTCTCTCTCATTACCCACTCGCTCTCTTTCATTCCCCACTCTCTCTCATTCCCCACTCTCTCCCTCATTCCCCACTCTCCCTCATTCCCCATTCGCTCTCTTTCATTCCCCACTCTCTCTCTCATTCCCCACTCGCTCTCTTTCATTCCCCACTCTCTCTCATTCCCCACTCGCTCTCTTTCATTCCCCACTCTCTCTCTCATTCCCCACTTGCTTTCATTCCACACTCTCTCTTTCATTCCCCACTCGCTCTCTTTCATTCCCCACTCGCTCTCTTTCATTCCCCACTCTCTCTCTCATTCCCCACTCGCTCTCTTTCATTCCCCACTCTCTCTCATTCCCCACTCTCTCTCTCATTCCCCACTCTCTCTCTCATTCCCCACTTGCTTTCATTCCCCCACTCTCTCTCATTCCCCGCTCTCTCTCATTCCCCACTTGCTTTATTCCCCACTCTCTCTCATTCCCCACTCTCTCTCATTCCCCACTCTCTCTCTCATTCCCCAATCTCTCTCATTCCCCACTTTCTCTCTCTCATTCCCCACTCTCTCCCTCATTCCCCACTCTCTCTCATTCCCCACTTGCTTTCATTCCCCACTCTCTCTCATTCCCCACTCTCTCTCTCATTCCCCACTTGCTTTCATTCCCCACTCTCTCTCATTCCCCACTCTCTCTCTCATTCCCCACTTGCTTTCATTCCCCACTCTCTCTCATTCCCCACTCTCTCTCTCATTCCCCACTTGCTTTCATTCCCCACTCTCTCTCATTCCCCACTCTCTCTCTCATTCCCCACTTGCTTTTATTCCCAACTCTCTCTCATTCCCCACTCTCTCTCATTCCCCACTCTCTCTCATTCCCCACTCTCTCTCTCTCCCTCCTCTCGTCCCCCTCCCATCCATTTCTCTTTTTCCCCTACGAATTGTAACCTTACCCCGAACTCCGCTCTCCGTGGAGTGGCTTGCCTCTTAGCGAGTCGCTCGTCGTTTATGATTCGTTTCACTTGTAGATTGAATCCAGTCGAGAATTGTACAAAAAGCGTTGCTTTTAGGGCTACACCATCCCCAGACCTTCCATTAAAATAAAACCCAACACATCGTCTACGTATATTTAATATAAACTTTTAATCCATCGCGATATCACAGCGATAAAATAGAAACTTTGATCTTCTTTGAGATAATATGCGAACACTTTAATTGACATATACAAAACCCTTGCATATATTAAACGTATAGAAAAGAAAGAATAAATCAAGGCAGGTAGTACTGTCTGCCTCGCGCAATATAAACAGTATGTTCTTGGTTCTTTCGGTAAAGTCACGTAGAAGGGAAGTAATAAACGCAAGCAGCCGTGCTTGCGTTGTGGCCGAAACGTCGTGAGAATTGTTTTATTATGTTTTATTTTTATTATTTATTACTTCCCTTCTACGTGACTTTACCGAAAGAACCAAGAAGATGAATCCCTGCAGTCACGAAAGCTTTAAATCGAAAAATAAACAGTATGGTCTGCGAAAGGGGCCGATAATACTCACAGATGCTGTAAGTGAATGCTAGTCAGTATCTGTAAACGCGGCGTAAAGAAAACAACAACAAAACCGGAGTAAATAAATACCTGCTTTTACTAAACCGTACAATGTTGATACTAACAAAAAACACCCGCAAAGTACTTCTGCATTGTGAAAATGGAACCACGCGGACGGATGGCTCCACCACAAATAGTCAGACGCGAGGATGTCGCCGGCCAAACGGGAGACGGCGCAAAGCGTCGCACATCCGACCCGACGCCGATGAAGCGCCCACGCGCAACCTCGATCTGACGCCCGCCGGTGCGGCGCTTTGCTCGTCGCTGCTGCGTGTCGACGCGCTGTCGACGCGCATCAGCGATGGTCGCGCACGCGGCAAAGCGCCCCTCGCCTCGAGAGCGTCCGCTCGCCTCGGTAGCACGGCCGCGTGCTCGACGCAATGCATTGTTGTACAGGCGTTCACTTATGTAACCTTTTCACATGCCCACATGTGCCGAATACCTCTAACCCAGTACCTAATAACAGTACCTATACCCGTTATCTATACCCCAGTACCTATACCCCAGTGCCTATACCCCAGTACCTATACCCGTTACCTATACCCCAGTACCTATACCCAGTACCTTATACCCCAGTACCTATACCCCAGTACCTATACCCCAGTACCTATACCCATTACCTATACCCCAGTACCTATACCCCAGTACCTATACCCCAGTACCTATACCCCAGTACCTATACCCCAGTACCTATACCCATTACCTATACCCCAGTACCTATACCCCAGTACCTATACCCCAGTACCTATACCCCAGTATGTATAGCCAGTATTTGTACCTTCTTCTTCCACGCGCTTGCCTCACTCATGCCGGGTGTTCGCTGTCCTTGCCAACCTTCTCCACGCTGCCCTGCCCTGCGCCATCTCTCCTTCCGCTCCTCGGGCGACCATGTCCGATCGGAACCACATCGCCCCACCTCTTCTTCTGACTTCCTCTTGATCTCTTTCCTTCCACTTGCATCACTTGCACCTTCTGACCCACATAATTTCCCCGTTGTCGCTCCACATGACCGAACCACGCCCACAGCCTTTCCTCTCTCATCTGCTCTGTGATTTCTACCACCTTGAGTCTTCCTCTCACTAATCCATTTCTCACCCTGTCCTTGTTAAACCAACATCCACCGCAACATCCTCATCTCTCTTTCTCGGCCCCATACAACAGCACCGCCCCCACCACCGTGGGGCCCTCTTATCGCACACCACACCGGTCATCTCTCACCATGTCAGCTACCCAGCCCTTGCTGTTGTTCTCATCTCTCGCCATGTCAGCTACCCAGCCCTTGTTCTTGTTGTCATCTCTCACCATGTCAGCTACCCAGCCCTTGCTGCTGTTCTCATCTCTCGCCATGTCAGCTACCCAGCCCTTGCTGTTGTTCTCACCTCTCACCATGTCAGCTACCCAGCCCTTGCTGTTCTTCTCATCTCTCGCCATGTCAGCTACCCAGCCCTTGCTGTTGTTCTCACCTCTCACCATGTCAGCTACCCAGCCCTTGCTGTTGTTCTCATCTCTCACCATGTCAGCTACCCAGCCCTTGCTGTTGTTCTCATCTCTCGCCATGTCAGCTACCCAGCCCTTGCTGTTGTTCTCACCTCTCACCATGTCAGCTACCCAGCCCTTGCTGTTGTTCTCATCTCTCACCATGTCAGCTACCCAGCCCTTGTTCTTGTTCTCATCTCTCGCCATGTCAGCTACCCAGCCCTTGCTCTTGTTCTCATCTCTCCTCCTTCTAGTGATCCTCAGCACCCACATCGTTCTACCCAGCTACTTAAACTCGTTCGTCTTCATTCACTGGTCACTTCCAATTTGCAATACCCCTCCTGCATTATTTCCACTGACATTTGCCACCATGTACTCCGTCTTTGTCCGACTGATCCTCAACCCATTCACTTCAATCTTTTGCACCCAGATCTTAAAATCATCTTTCACTACTCTCCCTCTGAATATCTCTCATTAGTGTGTCCAGCACCAGGATGAACAGGAAAGAGGCTCGGTGCAACCTCGCTTCACTCCCGTTGTGACTTGAAAGGTCTTCGACACCCCACTGCTGCTTCCCACGTGCATTTTCCCTCCTTCATACACACCCTGGATCAGCTGGACATATACCTCCAGGAATACCTCTTCTCATACACCACCAGATGAGCTCTCTAGCCACCCTGTCGTACGCTTTCTCTAGATCACTAAACACCACATGCAAGTCCCGTTTCTTCTCTCTGAACTTCTCCATCAATGCTCTCAGAGCAAAGATTGCATCCATTGTTGACCTTCCCTGTCTGAATCCAAACTGACTCTCGTCAATATCCACCGCTTCCTCAGTCTCCTTTCTATCATCCTTTCCCAGTACCTAAACCCCAGTATCTATACCCAGCATCTATACCCAGCATCTATACCCAGTACTTATACCCAGTATCTATAACTCAGTATCTATAACTCAGTACCTAACCCGCAGTATCTATACCCAGTATCTATATCCAGCATCTATTCCCAGTACCTATACCCAGCATCTATACCCAGCATCTATACCCAGTACCTATACCCAGTGTCTATAACTCAGTATCTATAACTCAGTACCTAAACCCCAGTACCTATACCCAGTACCTATACCCAGTATCTATACCCAGTATCTATACCCAGTACCTAAACCCAGTACCTATACCCAGTATCTATAACTCAGTATCTTAACCCCAGTATCTATACCCAGTACCTATACCCCATTACTTATACCCAGTACCTAAACCCCAGTACCTATACCCAGTACATATACCCCATTGCCTGTACCCAGTACCTATACCCCATTACCTGTAGCCAGTACCTATACCCATTACCTGTACCCAGTACCTGTACCCAGTACCTATACCCAGTACCTATACCCCATTGCCTGTACCCAGTACCTATACCCCATTACCTGTAGCCAGTACCTATACCCATTACCTGTACCCTTTACCTATACCCAGTACCTATACCCAGTACCTATACCCAGTACCTATACCCCATTACCTTTACCCAGTATAAAGGGAGTCGGATATGCGACCTTATACTCCACGGGGGGTTTGTATTTTCATTTCCAGGTAGGCGGAGTGCCCTCAATTAGCCCCCGGCCGTGACAAAACCTCACGTGGACCAATCACAAGGCGGCGACACGACGGAGAACTTCACGTGGTGGCCGAGGGGCGAGTTTGGCACGCGAACAAAAAACAATTGCCGAATCGACGCCTTTTTACTTAAAAACCAAAGTTTCAAGTTGAGATTTTCTTTGCTTAGCCAGCTGGTGAGACAACTCCAGAGACCAGGATGAGCATCATGCCTGCAGTGACCTGGGGCCGTGAGTCTGCGAGTAGGGGGCGATGATCGCCGCCGCCGCCGCCGCTGCTGCTGCTGTGTATTATTATCAAGTTACACGACGCTGGGTTTAAGTGCGTGCCTATACAGGTCACCATACGTCGATGGTGATTAACTGTGAGCAGCCAATAGCACGTATTGCGATTGTTGGACTCAAAAACGGCAGGATGTACATACATCATACACAATGCACATTATGTGTGTGGGTTAAATGTGAATAACCCAACCAATAATAGATATCCGTAGTAATTTATATGAATACATTTAACACCCCCCACCCAGCTCTTCGCACTTGCTTGGCTCACAAGTGACGTCATCACACCCCCTGTCTATTTAAGACCAAAACAGGAGGAGGATTTCTCCACAACTCTGGCTGTCGCCTGATGATGCTGCCCGTTGTTGTCATTACCAGCGAAACGTCACGGCACTCAAATGGTAAATGCTGTAGTGGGTTTACTCTCCAACACACACCGGTGTGCCGAGCTGGTAACTAATTGGCATGTTTTGTTTACATGGCACACCTTACTGATTGGCTGTGTGGGGTGGTGGGGGGTTCACCGACACATTTATATTTACGCGATCGAACCCAAAAAAGAACCTCTCATGGATAATATTGGTCGTGAAAGCCTGCTACTACGTGTTAAACTTTATAATCCCCAATTTAGTAACTTGCGGCGTCACTTGTCGAATTGGGACCCTGGGTAGTAGGTGCAACATACTCGGCCATGATGATTTCTGCCAAACGCACGAATCAGGCCTCACAATTCCTAATGCCGTATCGAGCGATGTGAAGTGAACGCACGGGGAGAGAGTCGTGTTCTCTGAAACTAGGCCGCTTTATTTCGCAAGCTTCACCTGTTTCAGGGTTACTCGAGTAGTGTGGATTTTTATACACAGGAGGTCGTGGGTTCGATCCCGACCCTGACGCCTGCTGCATAGTTGTAGTTTGCACGTCTCTCTCCCCGTGGTCACGTAGGTTTGTTCTCCCGGTCCTCCGGTTTTTTCTCCACGTTTAGAACCAACATCACGCGTTTAGAGTATTTGGCTGCGATGCATTCCCACGTGATGATGATGATGAGCCATTTCGTTGAGCTCTCGTTTGTGTTGACCAGGTCGCTTCTGAAGAAGAGCTACACAGCTCAGTGGAGCCTGACCTGGTACAATGAAATACAAATTATAAGTTTTTATACACAGTAGCGGTTGCACGGCGGGTACGAGAGACCATCCATGCAAACAACAAGACGTCCAAAACGGGGGTGACTGTGGGTGAGTCTGTGTGCCTGAGGGGGTGACTGTGGGTACGTTTGCCTGAGAGGGTGACTGCGTGCGTGCGTGCGTCCGTGCGTAGGAGTCCAATATTCACAATGTGTGTGTGCCAAGTTGATGTTTTATACAGGATACGTCATAATAATAATGAAGATGATAATGATGAAGATAATGTTCAGCGCTTTGGGATGAATGGCTTCCGCACACCCGAGTCGGTCATAGGGGTCGTTTGTCCGCGTTTCACCACTTCTGGTCAGTGCGGTATTGGCGAGTTGAAGTCGGTCAATTCGCCTTGACCCCGGGCATCAATCTCAGGTTGCTGGATTCATAGCACGGTGTGCCAACCACTGTGCCACCGCTCCACGCCGCCATCCCTCGGCAGGATATGAATGTATTTAAACAAGAGGCATTCAATAAGTTGTGAGAACAGGTCGTGACTTGACGCACGTACATACCCCACGGTTAACTGTGTACAGCATGGTAACGCAATCGCGCACGTCACCGTTGTGTTTGGGACATAAATAGAGGGGGTCTTGTAAATGAAGCTTACAAATACCGTGCTTCTCATTCTCCATATTGTTGACTGCCCCTTGTACAGAGTAAGGGGTGGCAAAGTATTTTTTTTATTTTTGCTATTTACATATTTATTTGATTTTACCATGTAAGGCCCACTCAGCTGTTTATCCCTTTTTCAGAAGCGACCTGGCCACAAATGATAGCTCAACGAAGTGACCTATCAGGTGGGAATTTATAAAAGCCAAATCCTCTGTACTCGTGATGTTCATTCTCAACGTGGAGGGAAAAAACCCGAGGACACGGATCAAAATCCACGTGGCCATTGGTGGAGAGACGCGCAAACTCCAAATATACAGCAGCAGGTGTCAGGGTCGGGATCGAACACACGACCTCCTGCACACCAGGCGATGGAGATAACATCTCGCCACCGTGGCGCCCAAGGCGCTGCCCTGCAATTGCCTGCTCAGACCACTGCTGGTGGAAGGGTCTCTCCGCTAGTGGGAGCTCCAGAGAAACGCCTCTCAAGGGTCCTGCTCCCACGCTACCGCAGCGGCCAGACGATTTGAAAGAGGTGGGGGAGTTACCCACACTGTACCCCACCGCCTACTGCTGGCTGGGGTGGGCGAGGAAGGGATTTAAGAAACTTGTCGTACACAGTATATACCGTCTCCTACATACTGTTAGTTAGCATGCATACAATTACATATAGACACATTGTGTATTTGAAACGGCTGTTGCCATGCAGGAATTTTATACTTTCCAAGATTAAATTCGGCTCGATAAGTTAAGAATGTGAGCGACAAAAAATGTTTGTACAACGATCCCTTCCATATTTCAAACCGCAGCTCACCGATAGCTCAATCACAACGTGCCCACGACGGATCCCGATTGAGCCCCGTGACGATGGTTTTCCCGTTTGTTCTTGAAAAGACAAAAACACTTTTAAGCGTCCAGGAGTGTCTCCCTGCTCGAGCAGACGAGCAAGATGGTGGGGCCCGTCACATCAATTGGTGGCCCTGAGCCAGTGGACTAAATTCAACATTTCCATGCCAGGAGGAGGTGGGGGGGGGGGGGCATCAGTCTCTCCACGGGACTACCCGTTTGTTGACTTCCCACAAAGCGGTACTCATTTTAATAAGCCTGGAAGGATGATGATGATGATGTTGGGCTTCTGACGACCCCCGACCTCGGTGTTTGACCTCGCGAGTAAGTCGCTCTCCACCCGCCGCAGCGCCGCGCAAGTCCAACCGCGTTTCACAGTCTGACGGACGAAAAAAAATATCGACAGCGGGTGACGCCTCTCCCTCGTACACAGCGGCGACTGGAAAAACGTCGACCGACCGCTTGCAGCCGACCGGCTCGGCGCTCTCCCCCATGGGCGACGTCGCCAACAGCAGCTCGCGACAGAACGGCCGTCTACCATCTGCCGACGGTCGCCAGAGCGAAGCTGTCGCGAGTGTCCCCGGGCACCTGGCGGAAGTGGCGGCGGCGTCGCAAACGCCTCGCCGCAAGTGAACGCCGTTCGCGCTGCCTCACAGCGGGCAATGTGTTCGTCGCAACCGGGTTCCTCGATTGCGCACCGAATATCTGCCGGTGGGTCGCCGGTAGACCGGAGCAGTAGGTGGGTAGCCACGGCCGTAGCAAGAGAGATATATAGATACTGGATGTGGTGTGCCGGGTGGGGAAATATTTTATGGGTCGCTAATCCCCGGACAGATCCGGGCTGAAGTTAAGCCCCCAATGGCCGTTTCAAGTGTTTGGAATGGAGGCCCTCTCCGGAGCAGAGAGAGAGAGGGGCGGGGAGGGGGGCGCCAGCTCATGACTGAACGACTCACAGTTGGAGAAGGCATTTCACAACGTGGTGCCTTCAGAACGCCGGGGGGCAGCCGGAGGTAGCCGACGGCTGGTGTTGGTTGATATCCTGGCCCCTTCAGATGTTGGCTTTTGGCGACACCAAAAAAGGCAAGGCAGTAGCTGCTGCCAGTTTATAGACCAATCAACTTTCTCAGTCGAGTTGCAACAACAACAAAAAACAGTGCCACAAATAATAGCGACGATAATTACAATAATAATAATACAGGCGACGGTAACCTGAGCCTTTCTGTTGTTGCGATAACACCGGGGGCTTCAATTTCTTGCTGAATATCTTCCGGGTCACTAGTAGACTGGAGTAGCAGGTGGCACGTGACTGGTAGCCGATGGATGTGGTGTGCCGGGTGTAGAAATCTTGTCCGAGTCGCTGCTAGCCCGGAGCTGCAGGTGGCACGTGACTGGTAGCCGATGGATGTGGTGTGCCGGGTGTAGAAATCTTGTCCGAGTCGCTGCTAGCCCGGAGCTGCAGGTGGCACGTGACTGGTAGCCGATGGATGTGGTGTACCAGGTGTAGAAATCTTGTCCGAGTCGCTGCTAGCCCGGAGCTGCAGGTGGCACGTGACTGGTAGCCAATGGATGTGGTGTACCGGGTGTAGAAATCTTGTCCGAGTCGCTGCTAGCCCGGAGCTGCAGGTGGCACGTGACTGGTAGCCAATGGATGTGGTGTACCGGGTGTAGAAATCTTGTCCGAGTCGCTGCTAGCCCGGAGCTGCAGGTGGCACGTGACTGGTAGCCGATGGATGTGGTGTACCGGGTGTAGAAATCTTGTCCGAGTCGCTGCTAGCCCGGAGCTGCAGGTGGCACGCGACGAGTAGCAGCCAGTCCGCAGCTGAAGCCACGCGCCGGGCTCGTGGCTGACGCCGAGTGGGGGTTTGCGTGCGGGCCGGCTGCATTATTGACGTCCGGCCCGTCGAGAGAGAAGGCGTTGGGGTTCTGGCGACGTGGAGACGCCGGGGCGGGAGGGCGCTGGGGCCACGGCGTCGCTCGGCCAAACCGGGGCGGCCGTAGGGGCCGTGGGGCCGTGGGGGCCGTGGGAGCCGTGGGGGCCGTGCCGGCTACTTGCAGACGAATCGGTCGACGATCTCTGTGCACATCCTGCACTTGACGTAGCAGCACCAGTGGAACTTGCAGTGGCATCGCTCTACCACCGTGGCTGGGGAGGAGGGGAATGCAGCGGGCGTGAGGCGAAACGTCAGACATCGTGCCGGGCGAACGTGTGGTACCGACCCCCGAACGCACGCCGGAGAGATAATTTGTTGTTGTTGTTGTCATTATATGTCCCCAATTTTTATCCCAATTCATGCGATCACCGTTACGTCACCAGATGAAGAATCCGTATGGGAGCGAGATAAGTTTAAGCTTCTGCAGCTAGCCGAGTGGCTTGGCTGAATCGTAGTGGCTGTGTCAGGGTCAATGAGCCGGCACCTTTTGGATCATGGGCTCGAAGTCGAGTTTCAGCCGCACCATATTTGAACAAAAAATTAACTTTCCCTTATTCCAGAAATTTGCTTACACTCAAATGCGACAGAGACAGCGAAGGGAAAATGCAAGGATTTTGTCACCTTTGTAGTGGTCGTATCCTCTGCCACAGCACATGAGCTCGCAACCGTCGGTGCCCTCGGACGTGCGGTTGCACTGGCGCGCCACCGTGCCGGCGATGCCGCGCGTCTCGTCGTACGTGCAGTAGTCGGGGCTCGCGTCCAAGTAGACGAGGTCGTCCTGCGTGGGCGGCGTGAAGCGCCCGTTCACGGGCTCCAGCTGCGGAGACGACCGCCCGCCGCCGCCGCCGCCACCGGCGCCACCAGCGGCACCAGCGCCACCGCTCCCTTTGCGGCTCACCAACCTCATGGCAGCACCTCCGTCGTACTTTTCCTGCAGGCGCCACCACGGTCGTCGTCGTCGTTATCGTCGTCATCATCATCGTCGTCATAGCGCGTGACAGGTGAGGAGGAGCCGAGTGGTTATTGAGTTCATCTGGGGCCCCCCGAGCTGCTTGGGACCCTGGCGTGTGTTTGCTCGGTTTGCTTGGGCCTAGCGCCACCACTAGGCTATGGTTGCAGGGGCCCTCCCGGCGAATGCGTCCCGGTGGCGATCGGCTCCATCACAGACATGACAGTGGCCCATTGTTTTCTATTGGAAGTTGCGTGCCCAGTGTGTAGAGCGAGGCCTACTGCAGGCTGTGCACCAGCGGTGTTCAGCGACGTCATCTCCCTGGGATTATTCCTTTGACACAGGTTGATGCACTGCTAGCTGCAGCGTTCAGAATCAGAATCAGAAACGGTTTTAATCGCCATGTAAGTTTGCACAAACAAGGAATTCACTATGGCGGGACGGTGCATACATTGAACAAGTAGGAATCTTAACTTATATAAAAGGTATACACTCTAACTATACTAACGTTACAAAGTATAAGTAATACCAAAGGGCTAAAATCTTTAAAATTATGAATAAGTAGACCTTATAAAATGCGAATGTAAAATGTTAATTAGCCGCTATTAAACAATCTTAAAATACAAAAATACAAATAAGATTACACGTTGTAAGTATGGAAAGGTGTAATTATGTAGATAAAATGTTATAGTAAGTGTAACAGTCATTTTAAGTGTAAAAGTCATTTTAAGCCCTTGGCCTTGTTGAGGAGGCCAACAGCAGATGGGAAAAAACTGTTTTTATGACGTGAGGTTTTGGTCTTGATGGACCGCAGCCTTCTGCCGGAGGGGAGTAGCTGGAACAGAGAGTATCCAGGGTGCGAGGAATCGTCCGCAATCTTCCTCGCTCGCTTCAGGGTCCTCAAAGTGTGCAGGTCCTCAAGGGTTGGTAGATTACAGCCAATCACCTTCTCAGCAGTGCGGATGATACGCTGCAGTCTGCTCTTGTCTTTGGCAGTTGCAGCAGCGTACCAGACGGTGATGGAGGAGGTGAGGATGGACTGAATGATAGCTGTATAGAAGCACACCATCATTGTCTTTGGTTCCGAATGGCAATTTCTCACAACCAAGGCAAGATGCCTCGTAAAATTCTGGTGATAAGTGTCACGTGCAGCTGATGTATCATCATTGCTCATGATGTCTCGTTCGTTAGCTACATCCAAAATGCATTCATTAAAGAATTAAAGTGCAGTTCACAAGGGGCATTAATAACTTTCATCCGGGTAATGAGTAGCACGGCATCTCTATAGATTCGTGAATTGCTCACTATCTCTATAGATTTGTATCTGTCCTATAGATAATTATCCAAGTGTAGTGTAATAGCGCCGGCTGGTGGACAGCAGCGGCAACTGTGGTGGACAGACAGCGCACACGCCGGTGAGGGCGTGCACGGGGTGTGGGCAGGGCGGAGGAACTGGGGCAAGGGTCACGGAGGATCACATTCGGAGGCCCCTGGAACCTGCTAGCGAGTTCGAGAAGGGAGGCGCGGTCAGGGCGGAGCCAGGCCGCGCTGGGGAGCATAAAAGGAGCCGAAAGCAGGGGGGGGGGGGGGCCCGTGGCTGCCGGTTCTAGGAGTGGACTCGTCTCTTTGTCGCTCTCATCTCGTCGCCGTCGTCGCTGCCATCTTCGCTAGATGTTGCGCTCGAAGGAGAGTAGTTGGCTATCTCAGTCAGTGCCGTCAGTGTTTGACGGCTAGGGTTGTGTACAGGCGAGGTTGAGCTACAGTGGAGAGTGTGTGGACGAGACAGTGAAGTTGTTAATGAAGAAAGTCCCTCCTAGAAACTTTGTCTCTGAATCGTTGACACTACACAAGCAAAAATAAACTGTGGAAAATTTGCACGATATTGGGAAAAAATATCTTGTCAGACGAAGGAAGCGCATGAGGAAACTCATGGCTGTGAACCGAACCGACGGTGGATTGCTCCATCCTCGCCACCCACGACCAATCGCCCATTGTGCACCCGGCAATGTGGCCACTGGTCCAACTGCAGTCCCAAACCCAGAGAGGATGGGTCTCAGTCAGCTCGGGTTTGATTCTATTATTATAAACACACGTCCACACGGTCCGCGTAAAATCGCATGAAGTGACGAGGTTGGCGCGACAGACACCGTGGCGCATGGAATGAACCGAGGCCCCGTGGCCTCACTTCGCCTCTCACCCTCTGCAGTGTCACCGCCTGCACGCTCCACCCCCTCTGGGCAGCTGCGCTCACCTTGAGGCGGTCCCCGACTCGACGGAAGTCGGCGAGCTGCAGCCAGCAGGTCTTGAGCGAGCAGGAGCCCGACACGCCGTGGCACTTGCACGCGACGTCCGCTAGGCTGTACACCGCCTGCAGTGCCACGCCGTGATCACCACAGCCGTCACCACCAACATCATCATCACCACCACCACCATCATCATTACCATCATCACCACCAACATCATCATCACCACCACCACCAAGATCATTATCACCACCACCGCCATCATCACCACTATCAGCACCAACATCACCATAATTACCACGAACACCACCATCACCACCACCATTGCTATCCCCAACACCATTATCACTACCACTACCAACATCACCACCATCATCACCATCACCACCCCCATCATCACTACCGCCATCATCACCACCACCATCATCATCACCACCACCATCATCACCACCTTAATTACCACCATCACCACCACCAACAGCATCATCACCATCCCCACCACAATTACCACCACCATCTTCACCACCACAATTACCACCACCATCTTCACCACCATAATTATCACCACCATCTTCACCACCATAATTACCACCATCATCATCACTACCATCACCACCGCCAGCCCCGTTTTTCGCAGTCCTGATCCAGTGGTGGAAATTCCGCATTCCCCGTTGAGTTGTTAAGAATTGTCGCCTCTACTGGCAGCAAATGTGAGCTCGTTTACATGCAACACGGGCTAAACAAATGTGTGCATATGAGTCGATACATTCGATGCATCGTTAAACCCCCACCTAAAGAGCCGGGGATCTGCGTGTCGGCAGCGAGCCGTGCCGCGGTTTGCGTGGCAGGGCGGGGGGGGGGCATTGTCCCATTGCACCTCCCCAGCCCCACAACTCGTCACAGCCCTCGCGACCCCCCAGTCAACGTGGCACATTGGGCTAACGCTGAGCTAACGACGTTGGGCCGACGTTTCTAACCACGTGCCAGCGTTGGCCCAACGTTTGCATGTTACTGGGGTTTGGGAGCCGCGGAGCAGTTGCACCGCCTGCGCACCTCAACAGCCACGTCACTCATAATCCTGCCACTCACCCACCCACTCACCCACCCACACACTCACCTACCTACACACTCACCCACCCACTCACTCACCTACCTACACCCACCCATTCAGCCACTCATTCATCCAGCCACCAACCCATTCAACCACCCACCCATTCAACCACACACTCACCTACCTACACACTCACCCACCCACTCACCCACCCACACGCTCACCCACCCACACACTCACCCACTCACCCACTCACACACTCACCCACCCACACTCACCCACCCACCTACACACTCACCCACTCACCCACTCGCCCACCCACCCACTCACCCACCCACACACTCACCCACCCACACACTCACCCACCTACTCACCCACCCACTCACCCACCCACGCACCCATTCACTCACCCACCCACACACTCACCCACTCACCCACCTACTCACCCGCCGGCCGGCTTCGTTGTTGTGCAGATTCATGACGGCGCGCGCGTACTCTGGAGACGATCGTCCGCCACCACCGCCGCCACCGGCTCCTCCTCCACCTCCTCCCCGCTCGCGTTCGCGCGCGTCCACGAACTCCCTGGCGAAGCGGTAGCCGTACTCGGCGTTGTCGCCGCAGCCGCCCCACAGCCAGTCGCGGGGCAGCGCCGCGGGTCGCGCCGCGCGGCTGCAGCCGCACGTGGCCAGGTCGCCCTCGCGGCACGCGCGCGACACCGCGTGCGCAACGCCCGCCGACGACACCGCGAACGCGAAGGCGGCCTCGCGCGAACCTGCACCGCCACCACATCAACAACAACAACAACAGCCGGTGACGGCGCCAAGGCGCCTGTGCCAGGCTAGGTGCACTTTGAGGATGTCGGCGTGGAAGTGCGGAAGGCTCTCGCTGCCGGCAGGTCACAGGACAGACCCAGCGGGTGCCACGGGTTGACGGAGATGACTGGCAGATGCACCACCTGTGCTCCCTACTGTGCCAACTTGCTGCGTCCAATACCACCACCACCACCAAAGAACACCCCTACAGACGTTAACAGACCGGTGGGGGCCCAAGTGGGCATGGTGGGTGACCAGCACCACGCCTGGTAGCCTTTGTCTCCACAGCTGATGTTTTACACACCAGGTACTCATTTGAGGCTGAGTCGACCTAGGGGAGGCCCGGAACCGGTTGAGATGATCGTCACCGGTGATGGCTGTGAGCGAAAATCGAAGTCGTGCCGCTGGGTTCGTAGCAAAGTCCGCTCACTACCACTACACTACCACTACACTACCACTATACTACCACTAACTACCACTAACTACCACTATACTACCGCTAACTACCGCTAACTACCACTACACTGCCGCTAACTACCACTACACTACCGCTAACTACCGCTAACTACCACTACACTATCGCTAACTACCACTACACTACCGCTAACTACCACTACACTACCACTACACTACCACTAACTACCACTACACTACCACTACACTACCACTAACTACCACTAACTACCACTACACACTACCACTAACTACCACTACACACTACCACTAACTACCACTACACTACCACTACACTACCACTACACACTACCGCTAACTACCACTACACTACCACTACACTACCGCTAACTACCACTACACTACCGCTAACTACCACTACACTACCACTACACTACCACTACACTACCGCTAACTACCACTAATTACCACTAACTACCACTACACTACCGCTAACTACCGCTAACTACCACTACACTACCACTACACTACCGCTAACTACCACTGCACTACCACTACACTACACTATCACTACACTACCGCTAACTACCGCTAACTACCATTAACTACCACTAACTACCACTAACTACCGCCCTACGCACGCACGTGCCAAGCACACATCACGAAGCGAGCCTCTTACACACCAAAAAAAAGAGAGAGTTGTAATTGTTTATCGAAGTCAGGTAACCCAAGAGGTTAACACAATGCAGATATCCGATACATGCCCTCGCAAACGGCGTGCCTTGGAAATTGTTACCATGTCGCGCAGCACGTGGGAATGGTTTGGCGAGGGCGGGCAGGGAGGGGGTGATCGCTGGCTCCTGCTTCCGAAAGAGGTCCTGCATGTCCCCAGCCAGTGCCGGATTATCCCAGGAGCAAAAGTAGCTGCATATGTAGCTACGGGCCCCGCACTTTCAGGCTATTAATTCCGGTTCAGTGATTCTGCACTTGCTCTATTACTATAGCACTATACTGCCTTCGACTTTCATGAACGACTGGATGTTTAAGGTTAGCAATTTGTATTATTATCTGGCTCAATAGCAAATAAAAAAAACACAATTACTTTACTATGCAAGTAAAAAAAATTTGTGTTTGAATATTTAAGTGCTTTCTTTTTTTTAGGGCCCCTCTTTAACATCTGCTGCAGGTACGTTGTGTTTACGTGACAGGCCTTACTAATTGGCCGTTTTCGGGTGGTGGCAGGTTTAACGACACACTCATATTGACGCCATCTAACCCCCCCGCCCCCCGAAAAAAGACCCCCTCCATTACGGTTCCTTAGACCTCCGCTGCGAAAATTTCCCGCAGAGGAGGAAACGGCGGTGATCATGGGACGCAGGACTACAGAAGTTTCATACCGGGACATCCAAATTGTCATTGTACCCATTGGGTATATGCATGTGATGTGTGTGTGTGTTCTGTAATTCCCGCTTGCGGCCAACACCGGTGACGATTATCTGAACCGGTCATCGGTCTCCCCTCGGTCGATCTAACCTTCAATGGGTACCTGGTGCGATTGTAAACATCGCCACTGGGGAGACAAAGGCGGCCGGGCGTGGTGCTGGCCACCCACCCCCTCGTGTGCCGTGCCGGCCTTATAGGTACTCGCTAACAGCACTTGCCCCGACAGTCTGTACAGGCTATACGGGGGATCTTTGTATTTGTGTATTCTGTATATCCAATATCCCATATGGCTAAATGCTCTCTCCGCGGCACGCAATGTACTCGCTACGGCGGCACCTTTGACGGCGTCTCTCTGACGATCGCAGCCCTGGCAGTGGCTGTCATCTGTTTGCTGTAAAGGGTTGGTATGGATGATGAATGGGCTGCAATGCCCGGCTTTCTCCCTTGACCTTGTCCGAACGCGCAAATGTTACGCACTCTCTCTGGTATTCGCTCAATGTCGATTGCTCTGCAGATTCGCAGATGGCAGTGAGGTGGTGATGTGGGGAGCGGTGGCGCAATGGTCAGCGCGCTGCACTACGAACCCGGCGAACCGAGTTTGGTTCCCGCTCATTACCAATAACCGTGGCGAATATTTGAAACGGTCCTAAGCCTTCCCTAGGTCGACTTGGTCTGAAATCTGTAGCTGGTGCGGTATTTAGTAAACATTGCCACTGGGGAGACAAAGGCGGACGGGCGTAGTGCCGGCCGGCCACCCCCCTCGTGTGCCGTGCCAGGCTTCATAGGTTGCTCGCTAACAGCACTGCCCCAACAGTCGGCTAAGGTTATACGGGGGGTCTTTGTCTTTAGTGGTGGTAGCCAAGCCGTCAGCTCTCTCCGTGACACGTTTCGTTTTTCTCTGCCCTCCAGGTCAGGTCACGCACTCTCAGAAAGTGTGGACATTTGTGTTTGTTCATAAGAGGTTGGGGGTATATTGCTCATGGTTATACCGACTACTTTGGGGTTCTGGAGTTGTACGCAGAATAACAAAAACATTTTACAATACAGTACTGTTCTATATTTCCAATAGATGGAGTGAGTTGGGGTTTACTTAAGGACTTCCATATTTCCATTTTGACCTCTGGGTGTATACATGTGTCTATGGATATAGGTGCGTGCGCTGTACAATATGGCTCAGACATTGGTACTGCCACCACTTCTAGGATGTGGAAGAGTAGACCAAAATACCCTTGATGGGGTCTCTCCACAGCTGCCTCGAGCGGAGGCCGTACCGCCGGCAGTGGCGTGAAAGGCCATTGCAGGGCCGCGCCTTTAGTGTCGATCGCAACCGAGTGGTGGCCGCGGGTCGATGCAGTGCTGGGCTGTGCACACCGAGGTGCAATGCCTGGCCATGGCTGACGTGAGTGGTGGGCATATCCGAGCTCATCCTGGGCACCCCCCCCCTGCCACCCGACTTTCGCCAACCCTACGCTGACCGGTATGGTGAAGTAGGGTCAAACAATCAAACAACCCCCACAACCGATACGGCGCGGAGGGGAATCATCCAGCAGTGGATTTATAAAGCTGTAAATTAATATGTTTTTATCACCGTGTGTCTTAAAGTGGTATGGTCATGCGTAACTTATGTTGCGGCAAGGTGCTGTGACGTATAATAATCATGTGATGGTTTAGCCGTAACGTTTATATTCTATACTCGTTGGTTCTTTCGGTAAGTCACGTAGGTAGAAAGATAAAATAAAAATATATATATACATCACAATTATTGTGATGTATATACCTACCTGACTTTACCGAAATAACCAAAGAGTATAGATTCCTGCAGTCACGAAAGCTTCAAATTAAGGTTTAATATCCTGATCGTGCGTGATGTTTACTTTTTTCACATTGACTTCTTGTATCGTCCTTATGGTCCGGGTCTCTCTTCAAAAGGGGACTCAAAAATGCATTTGCATCATCGTCACCATCAGCCGCGATCAATCCACTGCCTGGACTCGAACCGATTCCATCGTCGGCTCCATCTCCCCCCCCGGCGGTCATCCCCTCCGTCACGTTCCGTCCTTGGGCTGCCGTGCCGTCTGTATTCCTCACCAACGTCCCTTCCGGCCAAGCCACTCAATCTTTGTTTTCCCTTTGAAGCAGCAGTCCCAACGACGTCTTTAAACGAGCGTGTGCTCTCTAGACCGCGTCTATCCCCTTTCTGCCTCCCAATGTAATCCCGCGCGTGTGCCTCTCTCCACGCTTCAGCTGTTGCTCCACCTTCTTGCCCGTGTTTCCTGATCCATCGGGGAATACAAGGGAATGCATGGAGGTGTAATTGTTCCTCCTCGAACTAATTGCAATGTCACCTCCCAAAATCTCTCCCACCTTCATTGCATATCTACACACCCAGGTTTGAATCCTGACCATGATACAACCTCAAGTTCACTGGCATATGATAACATCAACTAGGAGTGGGCCTCCCCTAGATCACCTCAGCCTTAAATTAATGGCCTTGTATCACAGTGTGATCGTGAACATAAGCAGTGGGTTGAGCAGACACGTACGTGTGTGTGTGTGAGAGTGTGTCTGTGTGTGTGTGCGTGTGTATGGTGTGTCTGTGTGTGTGGTGTGTGCGTGTGTGTGTGTGTGTGAGTGTGTGTGGTGTGGGTGTGTGTGGTGTGTGTGTGTGTGGTGTGTGTGTGGTGTGTGTGTGTGTGTGTGTGTGAGTGTGTGTGGTGTGTGTGGTGGTGTGTGGTGTGTGGTGTGAGTGTGGTTGTGTGGTGTGGTGGTGTGTGTGGTGGTGTGTGAGTGTGTGTGTGTGGTGTGAGTGTGTGTGGTGTGTGTGTGTCTGTGTGTGTGTGTGTGTGTTGTGGTGGTGTGTGTGTCTGGTGTGTGTGTGCATGCGAGTGTGAGTGTGTGTGGTGTGTGTAGTGTGTGTCTGTGTGTGTGAGAGTGTGTCTGTATGTGTGAGTGTGTGTGGTGTGTGCGTGTGCATAGTGCCAGTCACTGGCCACTCCCACCAACCTTAATAGGTGCTCGCTAACAGCAGCATTGTCTCCCTCCTATTTAAAGATCTGGATTTTGTTAAACTGTAACAGTTCATACAAAACAGAGTTTGTAATATAGTCCATTAATTGTTATGTGGTAGTTAATGCAACATGTGCGATTAACTACGCAATTATCTCTGTCAATCCCAATCAGACTTGCGAGAACTTCCGGAAATGTTTGATATTTTTTGGGGGGTTGTTATTTTTTTAAAATGTACATTACACACGGCGTGCTCGTGTTAATGCCTTCCACGTGCCAAGAAGCAGAAGCGGCGGCGGGCACGGTATGACTTTGAAACAAGGTGGAAAAACACGAATATGCATGGAATATTGTAACGCTTTGAAAAAATAGCGTGGTGCTTGGCACTTTATATACATATATTTTTTAATGAATGCAGGTTATTACCTGCCGCGACATATGGATCAGAGACACGGGCATTAACGCATGAGAACGGAAATCTGTAAAAAAGGAGCTTTATAGCCCATCGGATTCTTCCAGTATAAATATTCTGATTCTGCAAAGTTATTGGGTTTTTTTGGACTGTTTGCACTGCTTTGAAAAAATGAAAAAACTGAACAACAACAACAAAATGCACAAAGAAGAAAGCACGAAGAGAGGGACACTTGCGATTATACTGAGACCCAGCAAGACCGCACATGCATTAGAGAGCATACACAGGC